TATAACTCTCGCGTTTTTGCATATTAGTCTTTACGCTATATTTGCTAACATCAAGCACTTTGAAGATTTGACTTCATAAGTGTGCCCTTGATTAAGAATCCTTTCCGAGTTTAGAGGAGGTGCGGGTCAACATCCCCTTCCGCTATGTCAGGGCGTTGTCCAAATGCGTAGGTGTTTGTCTATTTTTGACTGCCAGAGCCAACTGCATATCGCAGGAAATTCTCCTTTATCTTTCGCGTTTTTCAGGTACCTTCGCGACTTGCCACACAACAAAAATAAATTCAATTTTTACATGTTGCCTGAAACAAAAAGTACCGACCTCTTTAACTAGAAAACAAAATGTCGGCCACAAACATCTGATGCGAGGAAAAATATTTTCACAGAACGGAAAGGATTGCTACCTACCATTGAAATACTTGTTTGACGACGAAAAAAAATCGACAAGGTAAACCCTGGTGAGGAAAAGTGATTTTATTATAATAATATCGAACTAAAAGAATCACCTGAAGAACAAAATGCTTTCAATATGATAATCTAAATCTATTAGTGCAAACGTTTTCTGGTTTGGGTTCGGCTCAAATGGAATTATTTGTTACGGATCGGTGCAATCAGGACAAACTGTTACTGAGCAATGATATAGTGAGAAACTGGCTTGTTTGAATTCTTTGAACAAGGAAACTTTTCTGTGGGCAAAGAAATCAAACGGAGATTCTACTGATTGACAAATACTAAATATTACGACATTTGACCTTCGTGTTATTGCTTGTTTTGTCCAGTTGATACCTTAATCCGTTCAGTGGATTAAGCTATCAAGGATTTCAACATATCAAAACTTTTTCCGAAGGATTTCAACATATCGAAAATTTTCCGAAGAAATAATTGAATCCAATGCACAGAGTCGTTTATTAGAGTTTTCCTTTAAAATTAACTGGGGAGAGAAATGACGTATTAATATTAAGGCCTCCAAAACGAAACACGCAAATTGATCACCTGAGAGACCTTTTCTACGTTCCGTAAGCATGGCTGATGCTAACCTCCAGAATAGTGCGCCTTCTCGGGCTAACATTTTCCGCTGACATGAAGTGGCAAGATTATATTGAATCCATTGCTAGGTCTGCTGCTAAGTTGGATTACTGCGTCGTGCAAGACAATTTTTATCTTCAGAATCTATCTTACATAATTAGAAGTTTACCATTCGCCCATGCTTAGAATATTGCTGCCACATATGATCCGGTGTGCCTACTATATATTTAGAAATTCTTGATAAAATCCAAAAAACGAATCTGCAATGTTATTGGTCGTGAGCTGACATCTCAGTTTCAGTCGCTTTTCCACTGCCCTAATGTAGCTTTCCTCTGCCTTTTCTATAAATACTTTCATAGTAATTGTTCTGATCAACGTCCCTCTATGGTGTTATTCATTGGGGTTAATTTTTAAGTTTGTTGTTTTATTCCCCTCTCCGCCACAGACAATGAATTGTACATATGAATCTAGTTAGGACTTTCATAGAGACAATGAGGTATTATGGTGGATGTAGCAAGAAAAGTATGTAAGAATGCATTGTTTTGGTGTTAGGACTATTGTTGGTATGTTTGGGTCAGTGTTTGTGGCTAGCTAAGTTTAATATTTAGACAGAAGAAGACCGTCCTTTTCTCTATTCCTTATTTTAGCCTTCTTACCACAATTCTGTACTTAGCAGAATAAATATCACTTCCCTATATGGTATCTAGACTTTATGCATTTAAGCATTTAAGTGCAGTACTAGATTGGCAGTTAGGTCTCGTCATTTTAGTTTAAATGGCACAATGTAACCGTACATGCTATTTTGACAGTTTCTTCTGTCGCACTTCTCACTTGTGGAACTCTCTTTAGCCTTCTTGCTTCGCAGTCAACTTTGATCTTGAAAAATTTAAATGCAATGTTGATCGTTATCTTCTGGCTTATTAATTCTTTTCCATTTATTGACCTCTCTGCTTAATAGTAGCTTTTCGCATATTCTCTAACACACATTAACCCCTTACATCTTAGTCCCTTTATTGCCTTGCTTGGGGTGAAATGATTCAAAAATAAATTCTTGCTTGTGGAACTCTCTTCCGGCCTCTTGCTTTTCAGTCAAATTTGTTCTTCAAAAATTCAAATGTCACGACAATCGTTATCCTCTGTCTTCTTAATTCCTCTTCTTTTATTGAGTCCGCTCCTCAATAGTGTTTTCTTTCTCATATTCTCTAACACGCAGTAACCCCCCCTTACGTCTTAGTGGCTTTATTGCCTTTCTTGGGGTGAAATAATAAAAAAAGGTGACGTAAAATGTTATAAAAATAACTTTGATAATTGAATAATAAGAGTATTAATTTATCTTATGAAAATAATTTATAATAATTCCGCAAACTGATGCACACACACACACACACACACACACACACACACACACACACACACATATATATATATATATATATATATATATATATATATAAATAGATAACTAGACTAGTTTCGAAAAACCCTCGAATTTTTGATTTGCTAATCAAATCAATCTCGAGGGAAAAAAAGGTTTTAAAAAAAAGAAAGAGCTACAAACATGAACTTCTGCCGACAAAAAAATCGCACAGATGCAGGTTTGAAGCCCAAAGAAAAAAACACCGATACGAGTAAACAACTAACTAACAAAAGCGCTCAATACAACCGTAGAGCAGACCTAGATACACCTAGTGAGCCAGACAAACCTACCTAAGTTTCACCTAAACTGATCGTCAGGGAAAGTAAGGCCTTACTTTCCCTGACGATCCGTTTAGGTGAAACCTAGGTAGGTTTGTCTGAATCACTAGGTCTATCTATCTATCTATCTATCTATCTATCTATATATATATATATATATATATATATATATATATATATATGTGTGTGTGTGTGTGTGTGTGTGTGTGTGTGTGTGTGTGTGTGTCACTTCAACCAATAGTCCCATGAACACCATCACAGACTCTTGTACCCATCTATGTGAAACTAAAAACATTAAAAGTTTAGGTTTTTTAAACACTTACTCCAGCAGTTATGACCTCTCAGAATTTGTTATCAAATTTTGCTGATTTCAAAAGAGCACTATTTTACCAAATTTGGTACTTCATAACTTTGCATTCTAAGAAGATACCAAGTTTATATTTGGTAAATCTCTAGTCTAATATATGAAGAAAAGTCTTGATTTTATTTTATATCTATTTACTATAGTCTTATAGTTATAGGTTGGTACAAATGGAACAAGTTGCTATTTTGCGGTTTTCTCGTCAGTGTTTTGCCACCTATAGAAACAATAGACTAAAAAGTTGATCACCATCATCATCTCATGAATTACCCAGTGAAAAACTTTGAAATATTTGTGTTACGAGAATTGCATGATTCCTCGTTGATAAAAATTTTCAACCCATGCTTCAAAAACATTTTAGTATTTTTTCGAAAGCTTGGCAAGTATCGTAGACAGTTGAAGTCAGGATTTATAATGTTTTTCAGTCATAGATACATACCTTTCATTCATCAAATTTAAAAAAAAAAAACCTTATTCGAGGCCAGCTTAGTAAACACCCTATCAAAAATGATAGACCCAGAAAATGATTTAAAATTCAAACCTATCTAGATCCTCAGAAACTATGGTAGAGTGAATTTAATAATAGGTTCTTACTTTTAGAATCTCGAGTCACAAACAGGGTTTTTTTTGTCTGACTGATTTTGAAGGAATACAAATGCAGAACAACGCGTACCTGTTTTATAGCCTACGCAAAGGCGTTCGACAAAGTACGCCACAAAGATCTGTTAGAGCTGCTCTGCAAACTTGACATATTCGAGAAGGATATAATTCGGACAAATCTTAACCAACACATGTTTTATCACATAAATTGTAAAAAAAAAAAGAAAAAAAAACGATTACAAATACTAGAATCCTTATATATATATATATATATATATATATATATATATATATATGTATATGTGTATGTATTTAGGCAGCAATCTTTCTTTCGTGCACATATCATTAAATGCGAGAGACAAGGTACTTTTATTTAGTTTTTATAAAATTTCTCATACGATCTAACGATTTTTTTTCTTTTCAGATGATAAATTATATAAAGTCAGTCTGAATGTTCTTTTATAATGTAAGCCTTATTAATAGAAGCAAAAAAAAAACAACACTTAATAATATCAACTATGAACATGGACACAATATCTTGACCGTGTTTTGAAAGAAAAATGAAAACATTATATAAATGCATACACGCAACTAATTATTTCTTATTTAACAGTTAAGATATTTAATCCTTGAAAATGGCTAAATGTATAGCCGAAAGCGCTCGGATTAAAAGAACATTTGGATAGTTTTTTTTATAATTTATCATCTGAATAGAAAACAAAAATATTAGTTCGTATGAGAAATTGTATAAAAAACTAAATAAAAGCACCTTGTCTGCCGTATTCAATGAAATGTGCATGAAAGAAGGATTGCTGCCTAAATACAAATATATATATATATATATATATATATATATATATATATATATATATAAAGAGAGAGAAGAGAGAGAGAGAGAGAGAGAGAGAGATGAAGGCACTTATGTTAAAAATCCTTGTGAGTAATTAATAATTGTAAAAGAATTGATGTGGTGACCTGATTTACGCTATATTATTTTAAGCTTATCTTTCTCTACTGTACATTATATTTGCACTGTCATTTGATCCCGCCATTTTCTCGCTTTCGTTCCACTTGATTTCGTTGGTTGATTTTTTTGAATTCGAGTTTTTGTATGTTTATTAGCAAAAATGATTTCTGTCTATAATTTTCTCTGGATGATCCGAATAAACATAGAAATTCTAACAACATCGACCAAATCTCAGATTATAACATTTTGAAAACCTGCAAGAATATTTTCCAGTGTTTCTTTTCTTGTTTCTGTCTTAAGATTTTTGGGTTGAAATTTTTTTTGATATATTAGCGCCTATTATAATGCAATTGTTTACCTACCACAATCGGAATCATGTTTATTAAAACCTTCATCGCATTCTTCAATCAAAGATGATAAGTGCCAGTTCTGGATTGGTCCGTATCGTATTCCCTGTATAAGTATCCTGAAGTCTTTGGCGACAAACTGCCTGTATATATTATTGACAAACATCTTCAGTTCTTTGGCAATAATGTCAAACGCACGGGAAAGCCTGAAATTATAAATTGTGGATACAATAATCATTGGCTGATTTAACGACATCGATGGTTTATTTAATATCTGATATAACTCTTATAGAACAAAAGTAGCAATAAATTGATACACATAAGACCGACTTAGACTAGTGTTCAAATAGTATACATCACCCCGCTCTCGACCGTACCGACAAGACCCAAAGGAATACACGACATTACGTTTGGGGTCAGATTGGCTCTAGGAGTTGCCGGAGAGCTGTCAGTGTTGACATACAACTGCCTTCGGGGCTCCACTTTGGATTTTCTATCTGGATTTACTTCCATAGCCTTTTTCCTGTTCTGGATATGACCACAAGTGCATGTGGTCTGGTCAGGGCAAGGCTTCTATATACCATCGCCCACGCTTTAGTGAGGTCACACCAGTCTCACCACCAAAGGACTGAACTTTGACCAAACAGGACGGTACCTTTATCTCATGAGATAAAAGAATGCCTACTAATAATACAAATAGTATCTATAGATCGGCTTTGCATTAGTGTTATGTAAAAACAAGTAGAAATAAGAGGTATTTACACTAAAGTAAAAAAAGAAGACACACATCGGGTTTACACTGTGGTCAAAACGCTAGACTGAGGTACGGTTTTATACGAAAGTCTTAAAGATAGACATAGGTCCGGTTTACAACTGAGTTCAAAAGGTGGAAATAACTCCCATTATTACTGGAGTCAAAAAGCTAGACTGAGGTACGGTTTTATACGAAAGTCTTAAAGATAGACATAGGTCTGGTTTACAACTGAGTTCAAAAGGTGGAAATAACTCCCATTATTACTGGAGTCAAAAAGCTAGACTGCGGTACGGTTTTATACGAAAGTCTAAAGAACAGACATATGTGAAAAGAGTAGAATCAAGAGTTATATAGGGCCGGTTTACACTCGAGGGAAAAAGGTCAACTTAGCATAAGTCAGATTTGCATTAGAATTCAAAAAGTAAACAATTTATTAATACTATTATTACTAGATTAATATATTATTAATACTAGAATACTACTAATAAAATCTATTAATACTAGAATGAAAAAAGATAGATTCAGAGTAAAAGAAGAAATAGACATGGGTCCAGTTTACACTAGTCAAAATATTTAAATATAATTCTGATTTCTATTCGAGAGCGAAAGTAGTCACACGGAGGTGGGCTCTTATAGTAGGATTTTAACACTCTGCGAAGTGTGGGCTCAGCTTATTCTTATCGTTGTCGACAGGACACTCTTTATTGAAGCTATCATTGAAGGAAATAGAAAGTTTACGCTGTTTTCGTTCGTCATTTTCTGTTTGAAATAATGAAGTGACATATAAGGGAGATAATATAGATTAGGTCATATTTATTTAAATTATTGTAAAAGCTATTCTTAATATTTAATAATTATCCAGGTAAATTTTAATTTTAAATTTTGTGTGCTGCTGACAGATCAGATGATAAGAGATTAATGATATGCAAGTGTCCTAAAGGTCACCGTCATTTCTCTCGCCATCAGGATTGAGCTATGTTGTCTAACGTTACCAAGAATCTGATACGAGAAATAGTATTTATTTCCGTTTCGTTGCTGGATGCGCGTCTCGCTTCAGTTACAGAGACAATGGAGTCACGAAATCGGCAGGGGGTGGTGCAATAGCGTCAACAAACGGTAAAAAGCGAGGGAAAAATCGAGAAAAACAGAAAATCAAAGAATGATAACCTGGAAATACAGCGCGTGGGCGACGAGTATAGATTGAAGAAAAAGATAACCATTCTTTTCCATTTAAGAGCCCGCATCCTCAAATGTATATATAAACACACACACACACATTACACACATATACACACATCACGATAGCTTGCTAACGTCACAACGCTCTTTGCTTACGTTACAAGGCTTTTTGTCTACGTCACAACGCTCTGCTTACGTTAAAACGCTTTTTTTTACGTCACAACGCTCTGCTTAAGCATTTTGTCTACAACGCTCTGTTTACGTCACAACGCTTTTTTTGCGTACGTCACAGCACTCTTTGTCTACGTCATTACAATCTAGTTCTGCGAAACTCACAATTTGTCTCTATCTACCTTGGTGGTGACTTAAGAATATGAAATGTCTGGACCATATTTCTTTTGAAATGAACTCCGGACAATTTCTGAGTGAATTTCCTTCTTGTCTCTGAAGGATTATTCTTAATTCGAAAAAGTCGATCAATAAAACTAATCGACACAAAATGTCTGTTAACGTTTTTTCCCCACCACCCTTAAATGACCTTAAACTTACATTTTTCTTTACCCACCCTCTAAATAAGATATTAGTATTTCTTGATTTTAACCTGGAGTAATTTTTTCCGTAGTTGTATGTGATTTGAAGGTCTGAAAGATTGAGAGCTATTTTTATAGCTTTCATGACATAAAAATTACTATCTATGGAATTTTAAGTGTTTGATATTATAAATATATATATATATATATATATATATATATATATATATATATATATGCAGCATATCTTCATTCAAGCATAATTCTTAATGTTATAAAGTTCATTAGGGAAGTTGCCGTAGTTTTCTTCATTTCTTTTATTCTCCTAAATACTTTCAATCTTATCCAAGATCATTTTCAGGGGCTAACTATAAGCCCACATGAGTAGAAGGCAGTGGGATAAACCTAAAAATAAGTAATGGCAAGAGTTTTTGACTTACCCTGGGAGTTTGTCTCTTTTTTTATTGCTTTTTCTCTAATTATTTATTGAGAATTTCGTAAATTCCATTTGCTGAAAATTTGGTAAATTCCACTTAACCGGAGCGAATTATTCTGAAATATCTCTCAACTTTTCCCCATATTGATCTATTAGAAAACATGTGGCCTATTATTAAAAGAGATGTATATGAGAATAGAAAAAATTATGCAGGTGTAGTGCCTTAATAAACAGAGAATCAGCAGTAGCCCTTAATAGGCATAGCATCAGCAGCTGCCCATAATATATATAGCATCAGCAGCAGCCTTTAATAAACATAGTATCAGCAGTAGCCCTTAATAAACATAGTATCAGCAGTAGCCCTTAATAAACATAGTATCAGCAGCAGCTCTAAATAAATATAGTATCAGCGGCAGCATTTAATAAACATCTTATCAGCAGCAGCCCTGAAGGCATAAAAAGAAGCGAACATTTAAGTAACTCTCTCTTCTTGTTTTTCCTCTTTTCGAAGTGTGTGCCATCGACTTTTCCCACTAAAGCAAAAATGGCCGCTTCACGCACAAACACACCTTCACAGGCAAGTCACATTTAAATACATTCACTACCAATTTTCATTAGGTATGCAATTTACTTCTAGGGAAAGAAACTCTTAAGCTTTCCTTTTGTTGATTTGCACTGCAAATCAATCGTTCTATGTTATTTTATGCATCTGCCTTTTCATCACCATTATTTCATGTAAAATATTCTCGTAGAAACCTTATAGAAGTAGCCAACGCATTAAACAGGCAAAGAACATCTTTGGGAAACAATAAACTCAGCAGAAAATAATGTTAAAATAATTTAGGAAAGTTAACAAAATCAGTAAGTTAAAGATTGATGAAGGATATAGACTCTCAAGGGATCCATATTAAGATAGGAATATTCACACACACACAGACATACACACACACGCATATATATATATACGTGAATTTGTATGTCACTATATTCATATATATACACATATGTGTGTATCTCTCTAGATACATGTACATACATATACATATGTGTGTATGTCTATGCATATATATACATGCACTTGACGGAACATACACAAGGATCTTACGAGTTGCATTGGACATCAGTTGGAAGAAACACCCAACAAAGAAACGCCTGTATGGACACCGTCCTTCTATCTCAGTTTCGCTGAGAGAGAGAGAGAGAGAGAGAGAGAGAGAGAGAGAGAGAGAGCGCGCGCGCTTTGGTTCGCTGGTCACTCCTGGAGAATTAAATCAGGACTTGTGAGTGACACTCTCCGATGGAAGCCATTGCACTGCAAAAGATCGGTTGGAAGACCACATCACACCTACATTGACCAACTTCTAGAGGACTCTGGATACCATCTGGAGGACCTGCCGGCAGCGATGTCAGCGACTGGAGAATCCAAGAAGAATTCTCGACATGATGATGATGATGATGAGTGTGTGCGTCTCTAAATACATAGATATTTGCATACACAAACACACACAGAGATACAAGCATACATACACACATATATATATATATATATACATGTATACATATGTGTGTGTATGTGTACGTCTCGAGATTCATATATTTATATTTATACATACACACATATGTGTGTGTATATGTTTTCAGATACATGCATATATATATATGTATATATATTTGTGTGTGTGTGTGTGTGTGTGTTTGTGTATGCATATATCTATGTATTTAGAGACGCACACATGCATATATATATATATATATATATATATATATATTTGTGTGTGTATATATTTGTGTGTGTATATATTTGTGTATGTATATATATGGTTATATGCCAAATGACGTGGATATGTGTGTTTGTGTGTGTGTGTGTGTGTGTGTGTGTGTGTGTGTGTGTGTGTGTGTGTGTGTGTGTGTGTCTATATCGAGTAGAAATAAAAGATTTTATTGTACTAATAAACAAATGTCGTCTGGAATGAGGTTTCAACGGATAAAATATGCCTGTCAACTAAAATAAACTTTCCACCAGGGTGTTTTAAAATGTTAGTTTAACATCAGTCCTCCTGATATCCGTGTAAAATGGCTCCTCTTTCTTTTACCCCCCCCCATATCTAAGCTATAATTATAAACTATAGTTTTGCAAAGTAATGATTTCATCGGAATGTCTCCATCAGAAATAAAGAAAATTAAGTCACAATGTAGAGAATAAATAAAATAATAATGAAAAAAAAAAAAGAAAGAAAAACAAATACATTTTTCTTATGATTGCAGTAAAGGAACCGGAAATACTATTAACCCACTTGGCTTTGCCAAATGCCGTTAGGGGGCGCTGTTGAAAATCTATAAAAAGACAAACATTTCTTGCCTTACTGTCTTTCTCTCTACATTTCTCCAAGAGTAACGCGTGGAAAAATACATTCAAGATGACTAACAGGTAGCAGATCCGTTTTGAGTTGTTAAAATTAAGCCACTTCTTGTCTACAGCTTTACAGACACACACATGTATATATATTTAGATATTTTCATACATTCTTTTTTATAGATACAAATATTTAAGTAAATGCTCCGTTTTATAATAAACAGTATTAAACAACATTTACCGGCCTGAATGTCCGAGAAATTGTCATAGAAAATAGGCGTCCTCCAACAGGAATCGAACCTGTATCCTATACGGAACCGTCATATACCAGGACGTGCTTTTACCGATTTCGCCAGATGCCTATCCGGTTAGCATGCTCGGTTTTACTGTTTTTAAACTTCAATCTTCCATGATTCTCGAACGTACATTCATATCTGCTCGATGCGTATCCAAATGTAAACAAATGACGTCACACATGGAATGGACAAAGCCCGACAATTATTTAAAGACATTTTTATGTTTATACATTCTTTTTTATAGATACAAATATTTAAGTAAGTGGTGTTTTATTATATATATATATATATATATATATATATATATATATATATATATATATATATATATATATATATATATATGCCCTCCAAAGAGACGCGATACTTAAAGTTTAAAATTAGTTTTAAAAAACGTGAAAAATATTCATTGAAGCTTTTATTTTAGTTTTAATTTCAAGCTAATAGATTAAATTCTTTAATATTTCAAATAATATCAAAATTTCAATAATCAAAATACTTGGCTTTATTTAAAATAATTTAAGTGAACTGAAAGAATTTTTTTTCTTAAATCGCTAAAAATCGCTGATTTTTTTAACCTGTTAGCACAATTCTTTTTTTTATCTGTCAGCACGATGTAATTGATTTTATTAAAAATGTTCAAAAAATAAATTATACTTTTCTAAAACTTTATTTGAAGAATATGAGCTGATTTAGAATTGAATTAATCTGATTTGAAATAAATATTACTTACTTTTACTTTAAAATATCGCAGAAAAGCATTTTTTATCATGGAGGTAGGTGTTTATTTAAGGTTTGACAGCTTGAATGATCGATTTTTTTTCTACGGGGGCATATATCTGTAAAAATTATTTGAGGGATACAATGTGAGCGCTTTTTTTTTATATATATTTTTTTATCAACCCAGTAATCTTAAAAATATTCTACGTAATCTATTTTTTTTTATTTTAGGTACTCTGGCTTTAAATTTACTGTAGTTACCGCACTTACTTTCTGATAATGTCGCGTAAGGACGTCCGTATTTACAAAAATCGGCACGTTTATATACACAGAAAAAAATTCAAAATTCTTTTTAAAATATTGGTGTTCGTTGAATTGTAGTACACTTTTCCATTTATGATGAGAAAATATAGCTTTTACTTTACATTTTTATAAAAGGAAAACAATTCTTTATCCATCGAAATTTTTTAAGACTATAGTTTTCATAAAATCCATTAAAAGATTTTCTAATTAAATAATTTCTTAATTTTATTACATTTTTTTATTTTATGATTCGGAGAAGATTCGGTGACTGGGGGTTAATTTAAATTGTTGATTTAAATTCTCCAAGGAAGAAAGCAGTATAAACATAAACGGTTCAAAAATTAATTATTCGAAATTTTATAAAATTAAATAAATAGTGCGGGTGGCGTTTGTCGGTAACTGACATTAAAAAAAATTACCAAGGTTTTGTAAAAAAGAAAAATTTCTAAAATAATTTCACTCATTTGTGAATAAGTTCTGAAAGTTTCATAAAAATTCGACAAATATTTGATTTTTGCAAGATTTTCTAAATCAATGTGTCTTTCACCACAAAAAAAGACAAAAGTCTTGTCGTAATCTTGGATTCTCCCGTTGTCGCAAGAAAAAAAAATGAATAATTTCAATTTTTGAATATTTTTATTTCTTGATTGTGATTAATTAAAGTTAATTTCTAAAAATTCGACTTGTTGGAATACAATCTTAAAAATTATTTTTTTCTCTACAAATATTTTCAAAAAAATCTTTTCTTAAATAAGTAAAAATAACTCACTTTCGCCTGACTCTCCATTTAATGCAGACTCGGACGTTGGGTCTGTGTTTGGCACCGTTCGTGGCGTTTCCGGGTGTATTGGCGCACGTGACCTGCACGTGGACAGTGGCACATCCGGTCGTTGTGCCGCCGCAGACACGACTGCTTCCTTCCTCTGCTCGAGTTCG